GAATTGCTCAAGAAGAACGGCACGTTTCGCGGTGTGAACGAGGACGCAGCCAAGTGGGTCGTCAACGAGAACGTCGGAAGCAGCATCTTTGACACGCACCAGCTGCTCATGACGTTCTCGCGCAAGGACATGGTGGCGTTTCAGCAGACGCAAAGTCCTTCGGACGCCACGAAGCAGTACCTTCTCGGGAACCACTCGGGGCCCTGGGCGCAGTCGCCGCCCGTCTTGATCGGGTACGAAAATTACCAAGTCAACGGCCGCATGTACCAGTTTCAAGTCACCACGTTTACGCACGGCTTTGCAAAGGGCGATGGCGCCAAGCACGTCGGCGTCGCCATCTACCTCAACAACCCAATCTCGCGCGACAGCGGCCGGTTTGACAAGGACGGTCTCTACCGCATCAACACGGCCCACAGCATGTACAGCGACCCGCGCGACCGTGCGGCACTCATCAGCTTTGTCGACAAGTTCCGCAAGATGATGGCAGCGAAAGGCGCGGCGGCCGTCGTGCCAACCGCGGATGTTTCGTCGACCGACTTTGTCAACAAGAAGATCGAGGGAGCCAACCATTACGGTGGTAGCTGCTACACGTCGGGCGACAAGACCGATGCCAAGCGCTGCGCGGACGAGACGTTCCGCGTTATCGGTGCCAAGAACATTTTTGTTGGCGACGGCAGCTTGATGAAGGAAGGCACGGTCAACCCGTACGGCTTCATCATGTACTCGGGATATCAAGCCGGTGTCAACGTCCAAGCGACCGTCTTGTCGGGTCCCAAGCCCCATGGAAAAGACATGCCCCACATGCGCCTGCCCCGTACGTTTGAAGCCGTGCACGACGACGACGCCACTTCGTCCTAACTGTTTTGGCTTATACAAATGTGTGCTTGTACGAACGTAGCAAAGACGCGGCCAATTCTCGTTACAGAAGGGCTTCCTGTGCCATCCAGGGTTCATGAAAGGCTTGGCCCTAGGTGGCATAGACTGGGATGCGTGCATATCTAGGACATACTACGTCGAGACAAAAAGCCGGATCATGGTTGGCGACAAGGGCTCATAAAAAGGGTTTGTCTGATGAACCTTAGCTGGCAATGAATGCCATCAGTGCGGTCGAAGACCTGTGTTGGCCGCACCCGCCTGCGACACCGCGACTGATACGTCGGTGCCAAAGTAGTACTAACGCAAAAGCTTCACTAATAGTTATTGTACACTTGGAGGCTCCGTGCAAAGGTCCCGTGTTTGCCACCAAGACGCGAGATTCACTGTCGAGGGGTGCGTGCTGGCAGTGCTGCTTGCTGGTTACAGGCGTAGCAGCATCCATGCCGTGTAACGGGAGGAAATACCGGTGATGCAACGTCGGACAGGCTCGAGGAAGCTCGTTGTGGGACTGTGCGCTGTAGCAGACAGGCGCGGCCCGCGACCTTGCTGCATGATCCGACGCTCTCGATGGCCAACTCAGCCATCGCGCGCCGCATTGGCCAATCATCGTGCGGGAAGAATGGAAGCGTGAAATTCGAAGAGCCAATCAAAGATGCGTTTGAGTGGAAACTGCAAATCCAGCAAGTGCAATGTCGCGCCAGTTTGTAATTTGCACGACCATGCCCAACAAGATCACGTCGAACCTTCTCGTCTTCGCCTTGATTAGCGCGATCGCATTCCTCGAAGCGTGCAGGGAGACGCTCGTCGCGTGGCTCGCCGATGCCCTCGACGAGCAGGACGCCCCAACCTACGATGCCTACGATGACAGCGACGACAGCAAGGCCACCTCTTGGTGGTCATTTCCCAAGCCGCACGACAGCGTTGATGACGAAGAGGTACACACCGAGTGCTCGTCCGAAGGCAGCGCCGGTCACGACGACTGGGACGCCCAAGCCACGCCGTCGAGCGCGGAAGCTCCGTTCCAACTAAAGCACAAGACGATGGACCTTCTCATCGACGATTACCTCTGCCCTTGTGGCGAGTGCCCTTGGTACAACCTAATTGAAGCCCATGTTGCTGCCTATAGCATGCCACTGCAGCTCAAGCGCCCCGTGTGCCGAGTGCTACAGGCGTACTCGACGTACAACGAGGCCGTCGGGTACTGTTCTGGCATGGTGCCATGGGCTCTTCACTGTGTGGAGACGTGCGACGGCAACGAAGACTCTGCTTTTGCTGCCTTTATCAACCTCTGCATGCTCTGAGCATGCTCGCATCCTCTCCGAGAGCCTATTTCACTCGATTTAATTTAATAAATTAACTGTAAAAATGCATGTTGAAGTCATCGAGTTTAAAAGGTCTTTGAGTATCAACGCTTGATTGGTCGAAATCTCGACGAGTTTCAGCCAATCATACGGTATGACACAACCGTGCTTCACGTGCGCCGGCAGGTCGAGCTGCTTGAACGCCGAAATCACGTCAGGAAATGATATCGGCGAAACTTGGCACATGGATAAAGGACATTGTGGAGACCTCGGAATGCTACGTCATGTCGACAGAAGATGCGTACAACGAGAGAAACTGGCCAACTTGTTAATCATGGCATCTGCCATTTATAAGTACGCCCTGCCATATTTAATCACCCACGCACTGCGTCAACTGATGACGGCAGATATCGGGCGCTTCAAGTTGGACGCACATCGTCGTGAGCGTCTCCAGGAGCAGCTCTGTCGACGGCGAGAGGCTACAGTTGCGGAGCACAAGAGACGTTAGCGCGGGACCGGCGACAAGCCCATAATCAATGCCTGTGTGCGATTGACATTCAACCAAGAGACGAAGAGCATCTGAAGCTACGACAGCATCGGTGCTGCACATGTTGCTAGCTGGCCGAAGACGTTGCAGACAGGGACTTGAGCTGTGTGCGGCTGACGGCGGTCGCGAGGTCCGTCAGCGTTGCATGGTCGCACAAACCTACAAACCATAATCCCTGTTTTAGTTTTTCTTTTTCAATCCCTTTGCGAATGTTTGATTTTTCCAATCGTGTTTCATCATTGTTAGCTCACTACTGCACCGTAGCGACCTCATCATGGTATAGCCCCTAACCCGATCCCTGGACTGCAACACACACGGCTACTGCGTCCTCGGCGAGCCGACGTGGCGATGCCAGACACTTTGAATTCTTCTAGTACTGCAGAAAGCCTCTATTATGAGGTATCCACGTTCATTCAAGGTCTTGGTGCTCAAAGAGTCCGCCTAAACCCGTCGACATTGTTTCTCGACCCGAAGTCCCAGTCCCAAACCAGTACAACCATCTGCTGGACCAAATGATTGCTGGTGCGGCGATATCGCACATTCCTTCTCGGTGCGATGCCAGTCTATGAGAGCCAAGCGAGAGCAGCCAGACCGATCCACTCGCAGACCGACCACATGAGCATTTACATCGTCTGGCAGCGATTCCACGACAATCGGGGACTGTATGCTCCCGCTGTAAACCTAACCCTAAGCCCTGCCTTCGCCGAGCCAGTGACTTTGAATGTGGAGGAGACACGATCTGGCGCTACTAGCTTCTAAGTCAACATGCTTCGTCGTGTGTCAGCAAGTCAAAGCAGCACAAAAACGTCAACACTGAACACACGCATGATGCGGGATAATGACGGCTTGAGGGGCCCGAAAGCCTCATCACATCAGCATCGACGACCAATCCATCGAGAACGTCCCGAGCATGGAAGTCGATATTTCTTCTCCGCTACAGAGCTCAAGTAGTCGTGCATACCAATCATATATTCCAAAATTTTTATTGTACAGTGCTTATATCCGGTTTACATGAGAACCGTGGCCGAGATGACGTTGCCATTCGCCTTGGTGGCGCTCTTGCTGCTCTTGAAGTAGCACGTACCCTGGTACCATGAGAAGGCACCGCACCCATTCATGTTGCGGCATTTTGCGCAGCAGTCGTCGGCCGTCGACGCGGCGGCACTACCAATGTCGCTGCCCACGTAGTCTGTGCCAATCTCGAGCGCCGAGCACTTGTTGACGACCGCCGCCGTCGTACCCGGGGCAGCCTTGCGTCCGTTGTGGCCGCTCTTGAGCCAGCAAATGTTGTTCCAGAGGCTGTAGGCGTTGCACGCCTTGTTCTTCTTGCACGCGGCGCAGCAGTCGCCGGGGTTGGTTCCTGGCACGTTCCCGACGTCTTGGCCTGCAAAGTCCGTGTTGGGTTCGGGAATACCGCAGCCCGAGGCAGATGCGTCGATGCTACCGGCCTTGGCGCCAGACTGCGTCGACTTGGGGCCGCGACCACTCTTCAACCAGCACATTCCGCCGTTGTAGTTCGTCCAGACGTAGACGGAGCAACCTGGCTTGGCCGCGCAGTCGGCGCAGCAGGCGTCCACCGACGACCGCGCCGTCGATCCAATGTCGTTGCCGGCGTAGTCGACGTCGTTCTCGACTGCCGAGCACGACACGTCGCCGCCAGGAATCGGCGTTGGCGTGACCACGGGGGTCGGCGTCGGTGTGACAACGGGAGCCGTCGTCGGTGCCGGTGTCGTTGCTCCCATGCTACCAGACTTGGCGCCGAGTTGTGTCGACTTCGCGCCACGCGCGTTCTTGAGCCAGCACGTGCCACCGTTGTGCTTGTTCCAGACGTACAAGGTGCACCCGGGCTTGGCTGCGCAGTCGGCACAGCAAGCGTCTGCCGATGCGCGACTCGTGGCACCGATATCGTTGCCGTAGTAGTCGACGTCGTTCTCAAAGTCGGTGCACGTTGCCAGCGTCGGTGGCGACGTCGGCGGTGTCACTTCACTGTAGCCAACAATCGTCTTGGCAACGTTGACGCCGGTCTGGTGCCCAGCGTACATAATAAAGCCGTACGGGTTGACCGTGCCTTCCTTCATCAAGCTGCCATCACCGACGTAAATGTTCTTGGCGCCCACAACGAGAAACGTCTCGTCCGCGCAGCGCTTCGAGTCTGTCTTGTCGCCCGACGTGTAGCAGCTGCCGCCGTAGTGGTTGGCTCCTTCGACCTTCTTGTTAACAAAGTCGGTTGACGCAACATCCTTGGCCGGAATGACCGTCGTGACACCTTGGGCGCTCATCATGCCTCGCAGCTTTTCGACGTAGTTGGCCAGCGCCGCCCGGTCGCGTTGGTCGCTGTACATGCTGCGCGCCGTGTCGAGGTGGTAGCGCCCGTCGCTCGTGAAGCGCGCGCTGTCGCGCGAGATCGGGTTGTTGACGTACACCGCGACACCAAACTCGGTCGGGTTGTTGCTGCCCCAGTTGAAGCCATGGCAGAAAGTCGTGACCTGGAACTGGTACGCCCGGCCGTTTACGTTGTAGTTGTCATACGCGATCTGAACCGGGTCCGGACTCGACCATGGTCCGCTGTGGCCTTGCGTCATGTACTGCGTGATCGCCGCCGTCGGACTCTGCGTGTGGGCAAACGTCTTCATGTCCTTGCGAGAGAAGGTCATGAGCAGCTGGTGTGTGTCAAATAAGCTGCTGCCGACGTTCTCGTTGACGACCCAGTTGGCCGCGTCACTGCTCACACCCGGAAAGTTGCCGTTGGCCTTGAGCAAGGTGAGCTGGCTCGACGGACCGACGCCCGACTGCATGAGGATCTTGGGCGTCATGACGGCCGAACCCGCGACGACGACCGCGCCCCGCGACGAGAGGTCGACCGTGACGGTCTGGCCGTTGGTGGTGTAGACCACACCGGTCGCAACACCCTTGGACTGGATGATGTACGAGACGGTTGCCGACGAAATGAGCTTGAAGTTGGGTCGGGTCTTGGCCGCACCGAGAAATGTCTTGGCCGGCGAGTCGCGGAGACCGTTCTTGATCGCAAACGGCGGGTGGCCGTAGCTCTTGCTCTTGGCGTTGCGGTCGGTGTTGAGGCTGTTGGACTCGGTGTAGCCGCCGCCGCCCAAGACGTTGCGCATGATGTTGTACGCCTCTTGGAGATACCGGCTGCCATCGGGCGACGGGTTGTTGGTCGAAGTAAACATCGTCTCGATCGCCGAGAAGCCAGCGTCGACAGTCGCCACGTCGTTGGGCCAGCTTGCTTCCGTCACGTACGAGTTGGGTGTGCGAAAGTAGAGCATACCGTTGAGCGACGAGCTGCCGCCGACGACTTTGCCGAGGTAGAGACCAGTGGGCGACGCGACCCAGTCGGTGCCCATGCGGTACTTGTTGTCGCTTTGAAACGCGACGTTCGAGTACTCGCCAGGAACGTCAAAGCGCGTAAGACCTTGCGACTGGGCATAACCCGGGATGTCAGTGCCACCAGTGGCCGCGAGGGACGGGCCGCCGGCTTCGAGGACGAGCACGGACGTAGACGCGTTGCGGCTGAGATACTCGGCGGCAACGAGGCCGCCGGGGCCGCTGCCAATGATGATGACGTCGTACGCCTCGCCGACGGCGACGTGCACAACGAATGCTACGACGATGAGCGTCGTGGACGAGATATGGTTGCCCATGCTGAAGTTGGAAATTCAAAAGTGAGGACTCGGCAGTGTGGCTTATCTGGGTGGGAATGATCGCCGACCGCCAAAAAAGTATACGCTTGGTTTGCAGGCAGCACAATGACAACCGCTGCGACAAATGGCGTGAAGCAGTCTCCAATGCTAACGTTCTATCCTTCGTGCAAAAGCGTCTCGATTTTGCTGAAGAGTGCAGTGTCTCGGGAGTATCACACGTGCATGGTCCTCTCTCCACCACTGGGGCCGCCGACCGTTGCTCCTGGGGTCCTATTAACTACACTCTGCAGCAAGGAGCTGAGGTAGGAACCAGGAGGTAGGAACGGTGCACGAACAAGGTGCTCGCTATGAGATGCTCGGTATCTTTTTTCTCGTCCTCGAGCTTCAAGTGCAGTGGGCGCGGATTGGCTGATGGCAATCTTCAAAAATGGAGTGTCTTGTCCCAGCTGAAAGGCGCACCCAATCTAAAAACTGTAAAGCGCACCTAGTCGGTTTTTCGATTAGCCGGTTAGCGACAGGCGTCCGGCTAGCCGGCTAGGTCCGTTCGGTTACATATCGCAGTCGAGAAAGGCGGCGACCTTCGATGCGCACAGGCATATCCAAACACGATGTTTGACCAATTCCGGTTCGGGGCAGGCATGAAGCGATCGGTAGTCGACGAGGCTCCATCGCGCCCTGCGCCCAAGAAGGCCAAGCCGACCGCGCTTGTGCGCAAGTGGCAAGAGCGCTACCATGGCATCTGCGACGTCTGCTTTGACACTGTGACCGAGTGCAGCCACCATCCCGACGTGGCCTTGCGCCTGCTGATCGTGGGGCACAACCCGTCCGAGAATGCGTGGCAGAGTACAAGACCTCCTACTGCCCACGCTTCTACTACCTCATGGATCGCGCGTATTAGGCGGCTTCTCGTACAGCAACCCGTCCAATCGCATGTGGAAGCTGCTCATGGGCGACTTTCACGGCCAGAGCTGGCCCGGCGTATTGCCGCCCGACTGGACCATGGCAGACCAAAACGCCATGCCGCATGAGCTCGGCGTTGGCTTCTCCGACCTGGGCCACGAGGTATCATCCATCTCTCGCTCTCGTTGACAGTTGCGCTCACGTTGGTGGGATGATGCTAGCCTGGCAACGACGCGGCGGCGTATGGCAAAGCGACAAGTACGTTCTACCGCCTCTTGTGGGCATCGTCGCACAATCTATGGTGCGTAGTGCAGCAATGGACCCGCGAGTTCTACGACCGCATGCGCGCGCACATGCAGCGCGTCCAGGCGAATCTGCACGCAACCGCATCTGGCGATTGCAGCAGCGTCTATGCGCATGGCCCGATGCTTGTAGCGTTTATGGGCAAGCGGCAATACACCTACCTCTTTGATCCGCCGTTGAAAAAGGTTTTGCCATTGTGTCTTTGCGGTGCATTGAGCGGTATCATTAGGTCGACACGGGGCATCAAGACCCGTCTACGCTGCCGCCCGACTGGCCGCTCCCGCCGTCGTGCGAGGTGTGGGTCCTCCCGAGCTCCAGTGGCCGCGCGGCCATGACGGACAAGGCGCGCTGTGCGCCGTACCGGGATCTCGCAGCTCGATTTCACGCTATTCCATGGCCCTCGCCGGCCAACGCCAGCTGCCACGTCATCAAATCAGAAGACATCAAGTCGGAGGACGACGGCGCTTGCATGAAGACAGAATAAGATCCGAGTTGAGAGTATTGTCTATCCTCTTCCTCCGTTATAAATGCAACGCAGTTCTTACTTGCGCGCGATCACAAGCACAAAGGTTAGGTACTGGAGTTCGTGGAGGTGCAAGAGCATTTGACCCGTCATCCGAATCTTCTCAAAGCCGTCGGCGAGCCCCCAGTCTTCGAGAAGACGCCCTTGGGCCTCGGCAAAGGCGCCAAACCCCGTCATAATCCCGTCAAGCGGCGTCACTTGTACGTCGTGGAAGCCAATTTTCGTGAGCTTTTCCGTAAACATGTCGGTGGTCCAGAGGTTCGCGAACGGGATGCTCGCCATCGAGCACATGGCCCGCAGCCGCGCCTGCTCAAAGCCCTTCCACGTAAGGAGCTCGGGCGAGACGGCGCAGTCGACCATGCCCAGCATACCGTTGGGCAAGAGCACGCTGAACGCCTCTGTGAGAAACGCAAACCGGGTCTCGAAATGGTATGCGGCGTCGCAGCTGAGCACCTTTGTGAGCGCAAGATTGGGCAGCGCGCTCAGCGCGGTCGCCGAGCAGTCGTGGACGTCAATGGTCGACGTGAGGTCCAACGCCTTGACAAGCGTCCGCGCGCCGTCGAGGTGCGTCGGCGTCACGTCGAGGCCGATGACTTTGGCGACCTTGAAGTGGGTGGCCCAGAGCACGCATTGATCGCCGCGACCAATGCCAGCGTCTAAGACCATGTCGTGAGCCTCGAGCTGCACGGCGCGGCCGAGCTTGAGGGCGAGGAGCTCGCACGCTTCGGGGTACGAGGTCACGGCGCTGCCATCGTCGCGCGTCCAGAAGCCGAGGTTGATCCACGACGACGTCTTGGTCAACGGCGACGTCTCCTTCTTGAGGCACGCCAGCGTGGCGTCGATGTGGAACTTGGTCTGCGGCAGCGGCCGGGTCATGAAGTGGTGCGAGAGGTACCCTGCCGTGAAGCATGCGATGGGCACTGCCAGCGTCGTCGCCCAGCTGCGTTGGTCCGCCATTGTTCGCCGAATCGAATCTGGCCCTTCTATGCGATACCACGCTTTGCCGCGTTTCATTGGCCAATCTCGTGATTTTCATTGTTTTTTGTCCAATCACAAGCACGCCGCCATGGCGTCCGTCCATGGTTCCCGTTTCCAGTCAACGAGCCGTCCTTTCTGCACGAGCGAGACGTCAAGGAGAGAGAGATGGAGAGGAAGAGAAGGTAATAGCATCTAATTTAGGAAATATTGGCGGGCTTGAACACGTTGAAGCCATCGGCGGCCGTACTGACAAGGAGACCGGGGCACTGCGGGTGGAAGTGCAGCTCCTTGATGTCGGTCTGGCCTTGGTGGATGAAGAGGAGCTGCGGCGGCACGTCGAGCTTCTCGCTGCTCGGGTGCTGTTCCGTGTCCTCTTCGACCGACATGTCCCAGATCGAGATCTGGTTGTCGGCGCCCGAGACCGCGAGCATCGACTCGTCGCTCGGGTGCCACTCGATCGACGTGACGGGCGCCGTGTGGTAGCGAAAGTGCGCGATCGGGTCGTCCTTGGCCGGCGACCCAAACTTGCGGCAGTCCCAAATCTTGAACGAGCCGTCGTCCGAGCCCGACGCAATCAAGTGCGACACGTTGCGGTTCCACGAGATGACGTTGACGTCCTGGTCGTGCGCGTTGACTTCAATCATCGACCGGGTCTTGGTGCGGATGTCCCAAATGCGCACCGTCTTGTCAGCCGAGCACGACGCGAACACCGAGCCCTCGAGCGGGCTCCACTGGAGGTCCTCGATGCTCGCCTTGTGGCCCGTAAACGGGATCTTATCGACGACCCACGACGCTCCGTTGTTGACCCAGTGGTAAATGTACTTGGAGCAGTCACCGGTGAGGAGCGACCCGGCCGTGTGCGGCGACCAGTCCATTGCGAACCCTTCGTCGGCATGACCGGTAAAGGTAAAGACCGGCGCGGCCGTCGACGACATGCCCACCGGGTTCTTGCCGTCGAGCGACTGGAGCTGCTTGGAGATGTCGTACAAGTGCACCTTGCGTGTGTCGGCCCACGTCGCGACAATGTTGGACGACTGCGGCATCGCGCGGATGCGGTTGATGCCGCCGTGGTGGTCGATCGAGCGCGACTCGAGCACCGGGTCGCCTTCCTCGGCGTCGTCTTCGTCGTCCGAGTCGTCAGCGTCCGAGTCGTCCGAGTCGTTTTCGTGCTTGGTCTTGTGCAGCTCGGTCATCTTCATGATCGTGATCTTGTTGTCCGAGGCTTTGGCGGCCTGCGTGCCCGCGACCACGTAGATGCTCATGGGAAACTTGGTGCGGCAAGCGCCGAGGTTGTCGCGCACAATGTCAAACGAGAGCGACGGCCACTCGGCCGACATGGCGTAGTAGAGATCGTAGGCCGACGAGTCGTAGTCGAGGACTTCGTCTTCGCCAAGCTTCTCCTTGTTGGGCAGCCACACCTTGGTCGTCGGCTCCTTCTCGTCCTCGTCGTCAGCAGCGATCGTCTGCATGGGCGTGTCGACGTCCATGTCGTCGCTGTCAGCCTCGTCGTCGTCGGCCGCGTCCTCGGAGACCATCTCTTCGTCCTCAAGGTCGTCGCCATACGGGTCTTCGAAGACCAAGTCTTCCTCGGTCTCCTCGACATGCTGCATGGCCGGCGCGTCGCTGCGCGCCTTCTTCTTCCCCAGGACGGACTCGACCCCGCGCTTCATGGCTCAATTCAAAATACGACCAACCGCTTTTGACTGGCCGTAAAAGACTGGTGACAAAGGTACTCGCACATTCGATTGTAGAGGACCTCTCGGAACCGATACGATTTTGAAAGGCCAAAACAACTTCAACTTGAAAGATCGCCAGGCCGACACCGATGGGTTGGCCACGAGCAGTAGAAGAGATGGTATGGAGCGCGCAAGGTAGTCGCGAGTGAGCGACGAGCGTGTGAGGCAGAGACGCGGCTACGGACGTGCGTCGTGCCGTGTATGACAGCTCCATCATCGGATCCATTTTGGTGCATGGACGTGGCATCGACAAACTTGGTATTGTGGTATTTGGCTTGTCAGGGTGGCGGAACTTGAGATTGCGTCTTTGTAGATAAAACGGTGTGGCTAGTGGACTGGTGATGAGCCTTCGCCGAGTCGTTAGTCGAGAGCGTGAGCGTCCTTCAGGCTAGGAACCAGACTCCTCCACTTCCTCTACCCACTGGTATCTACCTCATCTTTCCAGCTTGAGCATCACCACACAACGTGTCTAGTAAAGCAAGGCGCGTCGAGGTGTACCGATGCATAGCTTTGGCTTAGTTTCGTACGTCTCTCCCAGCCGGCACTCGAAACGGGACTACGTTGCGAAATTGTACACGCGGTAGCAAGGACAAGAAACTCCATGGTCGTGTCATTCGTAGCTATCGTACAACACGGTGGGTATCACTGTAGCGCCTGGCGTTGCTCCACCCGCTCGTTGGCGTCCGAAGCTTGCAATTGCCCGTGTTGATGGAGCTGCGCGGCCGCCATGTCGACGGCGTCCACCGACGACGTGTGGCTCTTCTTGAAGACAACGAGCTTCTCGTAGTAAATGTCGCTTTGGTCGGCGGCTGTTTCGGCGGCAAAGCCAACGTCCGAGGCGCTGACGCCGTCGGCTTGTGCGTGTTCGTGGGCGTCCTGGGTGCCATCGACATGTGCGTCACTGCCAAATGGAGCGTTTAGCAAGTGACGATGGGAGCGTCCGCCGTGGACGACAAAAAGCTTCTCGTCGTGGTACTCGTGCACGCCAAAGGCCGAGTCGCTCGGTGCAACGTACGCCCGCCGTCGCAAGTAGACTACCTTGGCGTGGCCCAGCCCAAGGACGAGCGCGAGCACCCATAGAGCGCTCCAGAGAAGCATCACGAGGTATCGTTTGGCTGGCTGGTAATGATTTGCTCCAAGACAGGTCGGCAACCCCGATTTCTTTGGCTCGTCTATCTCGCCTTGGTTCGGCGACTACTAGTCCTGGCTCGATTATACAACACGTAGCATGATGTCGACAGTGTAGTCTCCATCGATCTCCGTTGATCTCCATTGACCAGAGTGATAAATCCACTTGATGCTGGGACGCGCCGAGCAGCTCGGCGTCTCGTCCTGCAATGTGGGCTTGCGGAGGACCAGAACGTGACAACCAGTGTGAATCTGGCGCAGATCAGTGCAACATCAGTACCACGGACAGTTGACCGACAGCCTTGGGTGGATTGCGAGCGCGCAAGTAATTACTAGCCACACAATCGTGCAACATGGCGTGCGAAATGCGAGTTTATCATCCTCAGTCTCAGGACGTACTACGCTACTACGTGGCGGTCGTCGGATGCGTCGTCGTCGTCGACGACGACCATCTTCTCCGCCGCGTTCTGGGATGCGTACGATGACGATGCCGCCTCCAGTGTCCAGTGGCGCGAGGTCGCTGTTGACGGTACATAGAACACTGTATCTCTTCCAGTACCGTCATTTTTGCTTTGCCTGGCGCACACATCTGCGCTGCAAACCAAGTCGGCCAAGAAACGCGCCGCCAGCTGGCTCTCTCGGATCTCACTCTGTTGTTGTTTATTGAATGCATAATATGCTTTTGCGATCTAGGATGCACGTAGTTAACACTGCGCCAAACACTGCTGGTACCCAGCCTTGCCCACGGACGGAGGCCACAGAAACGACATCATGACGTGTGCCGGCAGACAACTACAGTGGGTGGGTGTGTGCTGTTCTTCGTCTGCCACGTCCACGCTGGATGCTGGCGGATCCAAGCTGCCGATCCCACGCGGCAATTACACTGTCCAGCGAACGGTGTGTCCTCGCTTCAACAATGCGTCTCCTCACGAACCTCCTCGCTGTGTTCGTAGTCTCCTAGCACGGGGTCGCTGCCGTCGATCTAGCAACGTGAACACGTGTGGTGCGACGCCGTCGAGGAGTTTCTGCCGCCAGCTACGCTTCGAGGTATCCTTCCTCGACTGGATCGTGCCAGCCAATACACTGGATGTTTGTATCGCTACACCATTTGGTCGCATACGACAAGCTGCGACACATGATGCAGAGAAGCGCGTGGTCGGTTTGATTGGCCCGACTCGGCAGCACCGACGGCGCCTCGCTGTGGCTGAGGCACCGAGCTCCCAAAGCCCATAGCTTCCGCCAGCGCTATCGCTGCCGTGGCGCTGGCGGAGGCGTGGCCCAGCGCAGTGGGACAGACGCAGTGTAAGATACAACCTCCGGCTTGCACCGCCAATATCTGGTGCCACACCACATGACGCCAAAGACGGGCCACCGTCCGAATGCAGAGGCGGGTGCTGCGGATGTTCATGGTGGGACGCTACCACGGACGACCAATGCTGAAGGGCGGGTGCAATTACACATGGTCGGTATCGACGCGTCCGCAGAGCTCATTCTACGATTTGTCGTCGACGACCACCATGAAGGCCCAGCTGATTGGTATTGCGCTCGCGGTGGCGTCCGCGCAAGCTGCCACGTGCAGCACCGTGCTCTCCAACACGGACTACATTGGCAACGACATTACGACGACGACGCAGACCAAGTACGACGCGTGCTGCGACGACTGCAACAAGACGCTCGGGTGCTCGCACTACGTCTGGAACAGCTACACGAGCACGTGTATTCTCAAGGGCGGCGTGCCTGGCGCGCCGGTCAAGGTCGATGGTGCGTTCGCAGCGACGCTCAAGGCCGGCCCCAGCGATGCCACGTGCAGCGCGGTCAAGAAGGACACCGACTACTTTGGGAACGACCTCACGACGACGAGCCGCAACAGCTACGACGCGTGCTGCGCCGACTGCAGCAAGGCCAAGGGCTGCACGCACTACGTCTGGAACAGCCACACGAGCACGTGCATCCTCAAGGGCGGCACTCCGAACGAAGGCGGGGCTCCTGTGCCGGGTGCGTACGCGGCCAAGCTCGCGAACGCGACGCCATTGCCAACGACGCCGTTTGTGCCGGTGCCCGGCGGTGA